CAAACGAATAGAAAATTTAAAAATTTTTCGGGTGGAAAATTATACCAATCAAACACACTTAATTACCAATTCCCTACAAAATATTTTCTAGACAATTGTTTTCCCTAGAAATCATTTTCTTTCCACCCATTTTCCACCCTTACAATCAAACGCCCTAACATTCTTTCCTTTTGGAAATTAATTTTGACTTGTTTCTTGACTTAATTTCAGCCTCCTCAACATTAAGAGACCTCTCTCATACAATTCCTGACACACAAATCATACAATTAAAGAAAGCAAATTCACCACAATTGAAGGAAAAGAACAAACTTAGTGATGAATCCAAGGAAAATAACATCAAGAACTAGAATCAAAGTTTAGAATTGAAAATCAAGAACAAGAAATAGGTTCCACATTTCCTTGTTGTAGTTATATATTTCGGGTAATGATTTTTCAATCTTCTTTGTGTAATTTCATTAGAAACATGCTAAGCTATTTTTTTTTTTTAAATTTTTGGATGAGGACGAAACCTTTTGTTGATTATTTTTAATTCAAAGGCCAAGTATATTAGTTAATTTGTATTCTTGGTTGATATTGTATGCCTTATGTAATTGCTTAAATACTTGCACACCATTTAGGTAATTAGTTGCTTGTTATATTTTCGGGGGGCTTATGATATAGGTTTAGAACTTTACAATTTCAATATACAGTCAATAGATGTTAGTAATATCATATATGGTGTGTGCAATTATATAGATAATCGTGAGATTTAATACATTACTTTGCATATAATTCGGAATAAGAATAGGAATATGACTGGGTTGTGCTTATAATAAGTTTACCTCATGAGATATATTAAAATAAAAGTGGATTATCGATATTCAAGAATACATGAATCAAACTAGATTACGAGAATTGGAAATATGATAATAATAGATGAATTCAAAATTTCAACATGTATATCCCATGTATAATTCAAAATCATTTTAAATAATTAGTAGAAAAATTAGACATAAATAAACAAATCTCTTTTGTTAAATTTATATTTGAATTTGATATTGAGTTGTTACAATTCAATTTAAAATTTATTTCTCATGAGATGATACTTTTACTCGCTATATTATTATTTATCAACGAACTCATACGTTTGTGGGATTTTATCGAATACCGATCACGATTATCTCTATTTTTTTACTAGTTTGTTAATTATTCTTCAAAATAACGTTCTTCTTCTTCTTCTTCTTCTTCTTCTTCTTCTTCTTCTTCTTCCTCCTCCTCCTTCTTTTACAACTTAATGTAGCGGTTACCTGCTCATTTCTTGAATAAAATAATTAAATGATGATGTCTGCAAACCTCAAAATAAATGCAAAACTGTAACATGTTCATTTTCTTGAATAAATTAAGATAAATTAATGTTATTTAGCCTCTGTTTAAAAATAGTGATTTTTGAGAGAATATGTGATTAAAAATAATGAAAAGTTTTGAGTTTATGTGTAAAATTATTTTATGTGAAAATTTATAGTTGAAAATGAATTTTAGAAAATATATTTTTAGAAAAATGGAGCCAAACATGGGTTTAGTTTCGACAGTATTAAATATTTGCCATGTGGCACTATGTTTATTGGGCAATGTAGGAGTGACCTAAATACTATATGGATGAGTAATATTGTTGGTAGCTGGGATTAATGACGAATATTAATTAAGAGTAATGATTTTTTTGGACAATTAATTCATAACATTATTCTCCCATGGATAAGAATAACTTAGAATTTTTTCCCTTGTACAGTCCTTAATGGACTGTAAAATGTACAGCCCACGCTAATCAGTCAAGGATATACATTTTACAGTCCATTAAGGACTGTACATGCAGCATCTTTCGTAACTTAATTTGTGTCATGAATTCAGTGCACCAAATAAGATTAAGAATTAATTTTTTTTAACCAAAAAACGCCATGCAAAAGTCAGTCAGCATGAGATTTAAGGGATTTTTTTGCACTACAGCTAAGATTGTAAGAATCTTGAATAAAGTGCCAATTTTATCTCTGATCTGTTGCTCTCAGTGTCATTAGCCACTACATGTCAAGCAGGTGGCAAGATTTATAAATATAAATGCCAAACACCACCACCTCTTCATCTCTACAAGTACAACAATATTTAACCTTCACATACATATGTATATTTCTTCTTTCAGTCTTTTCTTCAGTTGTTAGCCATGTTCTCTAAAGACGATGCTCGCACTGCTGTCGGGATTATAGGTCATTTCTTGAATTTTCGAGTTTTAGACTTCTTTTTCTTTTTGTGTATGAAAAGTTGAAGTCGCCAAACTAATGTCAATTTGATTTATTTATTTTCAGGAAACATCATTGCACTCACATTGTTTTTGTCACCCGCGTGAGTTTCATTTCCTATTATAGCTATCTTTGAAGATTTTCTAAATCTTTTGCATAAAATTGATTAAAAATTATTTTTGCAAATGTGTTTTATATTCCAGGCCAGCATTTTACAGGATATTGAACAAAAAATCAGTGGAGCAGTACTCGCCAATGCCATACCTGGCTACCTTTGTGAATTGCGGGCTATGGGTGCTGTATGGGCAGCCAATGGTACACCCACATAGCACCCTGGTGGTGACCATAAATGGTACAGGGTTTGTGATTGAGGTTGTATATTTGTCACTCTTTCTTATATACTCTGATAGAAAGAAGAGGCTGCGGCTGGTGTTGATATTGGCGGCGGAATGCCTGTTCATGGCAGTTCTGGCCCTTCTTGTCCTAACTTTGGCCCATTCGACGAAACTCCGGTCTGCCATTGTTGGGAGCATATGCATGGTGGGTAACATTATGATGTATGCCTCCCCGTTAGCAGTAATGGTGAGTTTGCTACACTTTTTCCGAAAGATTTCGAGCTTGTTTGGTGTGGCTTAAAAATAGATAACCTTTAGATGAGTTGGGAGCAGGGACAGCCGCAAGTGACTCATGCTAATCCTACGTTCCTTGATATTATCGTTTCTTTGTCACTTCTTGGCACAAAGAGGGTTTTGCTAGCGCTGGATAAGGATGAAAACCCAAATGAAATGGAATATTTTCTATCTAAAATAAGGCTTTTAACCGCCTCGAGAGTCTATTTTTCTATAATGAAAGTCCAGTGTTAATGATTTACAATTTTTGGGTTTTATTCAAATCCTTTAAATAAAGTACTTCTTGCCAGACTTTCTGTGGTAATCCGCATTGCTTTAAAAATAAGTAAAGTTATGCATGTTCAGATAAGTTCCCAAGTATAGTAAGTGATAAAATTCAGCAAGAAGAGAAATAAGCTGAGAGGAAGAGAAATTTAATTTATTGATAAACTTGATCGAATAAGGTTTACATCAGATAGTAGCCATATTTATACAAGGAATCACTGGCTGAAATTAACAACTCAGCTAATTAGATAACATAAATTTAACTAATTTGAACAACAATTAACTTCTAACAGAATTTAGTTAATTATAACTAATTTTCCCTCTTTTCTTCTACTTTGTCATTTTCTTCCTTCCGTTTTATTTCCATGTTGTCAATTCTGGATTCGATACTCCAACACCCTCTCTCAAGATGGACATGAATCTTAATAATGTTCATCTTGCGAAGGTCATGATAGAAGAGTAAGGAACCAAGGGGCTTTGTAAAAATTTCAGCAAGTTGAAGCTTTGATGGGATGTGAAATATTTTGATGATGTTTTGTTGCAATTTTTTTTAAAGAGATGACAATCAATTTGGATGTGTTTAGTTCTTTCATGTTGGACCGGATTTGTCGCAATAGACAAAGCTGATTTGCTATTTGTATAGAGAGATGCAGACTGAGGGTGGCTGATGTTCAGATCATCTAGAGCATATAGCAGCCATTGGATTTCACAAGCAGTGGTTGCAAGAGCTCTGTATTCTGCTTCGGCTGAAGAACGACTGATAGTAACCTGCTTCTTTGATTTCCATGAGATTAAGGAGGTTCCAAGGAATATTGCAAAACCAGTGGCACTCCTTCGAGTTTCGACACAGCTCGCCCAATCACTATCTGAGAAGGCCTTTAGATGGATGTCTGATGAAGCTGGAAAGAAGAGGCCTTGCCCTGGTGTGGCCTTTAAATAGCGTAGAACCCTATTAGCAGCTTGAAAATGACTCACAGGAGGAGAGGCAAGGAATTGGCTGAGCACTTGGATAGAATAGGCTAAGTCAAGCCTTGTGATGGTTAAGTACAACAACTTACCTACAAGCCTGCGATAGCCAGATGGATCATCATGCAAAGGAGTGTCAGTAGATGAGAATTTCAAATTGGATTCCATGGGAAAACCAACAGGCTTGGAGCCGTGAGGCCCGTTTCTTCCAGGATATCGAGAACATACTTTCTTTAACAAAGGGAAATACAATTTTTGGATCTAATCACCTCTATACCAAGGAAATATTTGAGTTGACCAAGATCTTTGATGGTGAATTTGTCATGTAGAAAATCTTTTAACTGTTCGATTTCCAGTATATTGTTGCTAGCTAAAAGAATATCATCCACATAGACCAATAATGCAATAAAGGAGTGATTAGATGTCCTGATGAAAAGAGAGGAATAAAAGTGACCTTGAGTGAAGCCAAAGTTGAGGAGGGCACTGGACAATTTTGCAAACCATAGCCTGGAGGCTTGCTTGAAGCCACAAAGACTCTTTAAAAGCTTGCAGGTATTGTGACCTTTTGTGGTAGTCATTCCAGGAGGTAATTCCATGTATACCTCCTCATGTAACTCACCATGGAGGAAGGCGTTGTTGACGTCGAGTTGATGCAAATGCCAGCTTTTGATAGCAGCCACAACAAGAATCAAACGAATGGAAGTGATCTTTGCCACAAGAGAGAAAGTGTCAAAAAAATCTAGCCCTTCTTGTTAGGTGTATCCCTTTGCCACCAGCTGGGCTTTGTGTCTTTCAATAGTCCCATCAGCCCTATGTTTGACACGAAATACCCACCTGCAGCCAATACTTTTCTTGTTTGGAGGGAGAGTAACCAATTCCCATGTTTTGTTTAACTCCAGAGTATTGATCTCACTTTGCATGACAGCTTGCCATTCAGGAAATTTAGAAGCTTGTTTAAAATTTTTGGGTTCTGGAGGAGAAGAGATAGAGGCTAAGAAGGCTTTATGTGATGGAGATAGTTGTTTGGTTGAGATGAAGTGTTGAATAGGGTAAGGAGTGCCTGTAGATGAAGAGCAATTAGAAGAAAGATGAATATTACCTGCCATTGTGGAGCAAGCGTATAAAGTCGAGTCATGGGATGACAATTGAGCTGAAAAAGACATATAGTGCCACTATGAGAAGCTGGAATTCTAACACCATTAGGGAGATATACAAAAGTGTTAACAACTTGAGGGGTAGAGTAATCTAAAGAAGGAGAACAGATCATTATGATATGTAGCACTTGTATCAAGAATCCAAGAACAATTTGATTTTAATGCAGGTGAGATAGAGCTGCAACATATAGGATGTACTCCAGGTTGTGTTTTACTAGAAAACTGAGAAGTAGATGCAAAATTGACAGTTGATCGAGTGTCAGAAGGATTAGTTGGTGTTGAATTGGCAAGTGTCATGAGTTTGTAAAATTCCTCTGGAGTGAAAAATAACTTTTACTGCTCTGTGTCATTTTGATAGGTGGTGTCTTGTGTAGTTGCAGTATGTGCTGAGGGTCTTCCAGAGGCGTTTCTTTTTCCTCTTGGTCCTGTCCAGTTAGGAGGGTAACCATGGAGTTGATAGCATATATCAACCCTGTGTCCAGTATAACCACAATGAGTACAAAGTGGTGAGGATGCTTTGGATCTATCTCTGTCCCTGAATGATTTTGACTGACAATTTTGATGATTGTTGCGTTGTGCCATTAAAGCATGTGTCTCAATATGTGAAGTAGAGTTAGTTAGCAGCCTCTGACTTTCTTCTTGAAGTAGCAAAGAGAACACCTTAGCCATGCTAGGCAAGAGAACCGTGAGAAAAAGTTGGCTTCTGACAGAAGCAAAAGAGTCATTCAAACCAACTAAAAATTTCAATATATAATCAGATTGTTGACGATTCTGCAAGAATGTGAATAAATCACAAGTGTAAGTTGTCATTATTCCACATGTGCAGGTTGGGAAAGGTCTGTAACTAATGTATTCATCTCATAGAGTTTTAAATGAGCTGAAATATTCAATTACAGACTTGGAAACCTTGGCTTATGCAACTTAGGGATTTTTCAAGATGAAATGCTCGTGGACCATCACTTCTGAGATATTTGATCTTGAGTTCATTCCATAGATTAGTGGCTGATGCAACAAATAGAAGGCTATTGCGTATGTCTTTGGAAATAGAATTCATCAACCAAGAGAGAACCAGATTATTTGCTTTTAACCAGGCTGTGTGATGATTGATTGATCAGTAGGAGGAGGGGAGATTGATCCATCAGTGAACCTGACCTTATTCTTTACTGTCAAGGCTATGGTAATGGATCTACTCCAGGCAACGTAATTACTTCCATTGAAGACTTCGGATACCAGCATAGCACCAGGATTATCACTGGGATGAAGGTAATAGGGACTTGAGGAGTCATCTGAGGGGTTTATGACTGAATTACTTGAATTTGTAGTAGGATTTATAGAAGAATTATGAGAACTCATCTTCAGAGAATTGAGTGCAGAGAGAAACAAGCAGCTTCAGAAAGAATGTCTGAAGGAGATGATCAGTTTACCAGGAAGGTATTGTGGAAGCCTTTCAGCTCTGATACCATGATAAAATTCAACAAGAAGAGAAAATAAGCTGAGAGGAAGAGAAATTTACTTTATTGATAAACTTGATCGAATAAGGTTTACATAAGATAGCAGCCATATTTATACAAGGAATCACAGGCAGAAATTAACAACTCAGCTAACTAGATAACAGAAATTTTAACTAATTTGAACAACAATTAACTTCTAACAGAATTTAGTTAACTATAACTAATTTTCCCTCTTTTCTTTTTCTTTGTCATTTTCTTCCTTCCGTTTCATTTCCATACTGTCAATTCTGGATTCGATACTCCAACAGTAAGTGTTTTTTAGATATTTACTTATAAACAAAATCGATATTTATTGTTTGTGTTGCAGAAACTGGTGATCACCACAAGAAGTGTAGAGTTCATGCCATTTTTTCTTTCACTTTTCTCCTTTCTCAATGGTGTTAGTTGGACTGCCTATGGCCTCGTTCGTTTTGATCCCTTCATCGTTGTAATTACTCTCTTTCGCCTTCTATAACCGTCTTTAAATGTTTAAATTTTATTTTTGTCAATAAATTGTGATTTTTGTGATGATCAAGGCACCTAATGGGATGGGTTCACTGCTTGGTTTGGCTCAAATAATTCTATATGCCACCTTCTTCAAGTCAACCAAAAGAATGATGGCTGAAAGGGAAGCCAAATCCGAGGTAGTCGTGGCAGAAAAAGCATCGGCAAGAAATGCAAAGAGATCCAATGCTGAAATTCAAAATAGCCATGTTGTAGAAGTTTGATGGAGTAGGCCATTTGCAGCCTTAAATGAGCTTAAATAGAATTTGTCAGCCTTAAGCCCATTAGAATTTGTCAGCCTACTTTCATTTCAATTTTCCTTGCATGTTTTCAAAGCAATTAGAAAAATTGCTACAAATAACTTGGCTTGGATTGTTTAAGGTAGTGATTCTGTTTGTTGCTTGCTCAAATTCTCATATTCATAAAGCAAAATAATCTCTCTTCCTCGACAAAATGAAGTGAAACTTGCAATTCTAATGAATCAAAAAACTCATCCACGGTGATTTTAGAAGAGATGCGTGTCAAGCAATTTGGGAGCTTTAGGGAAAACATCAAAAGGCCTTTCTAAAACAAATAAAATCAATGGATTCAATAATCGTTGGCAGAATTTTCTTCGATAATTGTTAACGGTATGATATGTTATATATTTATACAATAAATATAATATTTGACAGAAATAATTAATTAAGATGAAGTGCCCAACTGGTGAAAAGTGTGGAATTTGTGTGGGAGGTCAGGTGTTCGCGCCACGCCTCACGCACTATATTAAAAAGTCTTTGATTGGGCCTTGGGGCCTTGGGCTATTGGGCTTTATTGATTCTAATAAAATAATTATTTTTTTTAATCATTTTCGGAATTATTTAATGGGTCAACTAGCCAGTAGAATATGACAGTTTTAACTGCCCAGTATTAATACCCATTACCATTGGCCATTACATCTGCAACTTAATACTAGATCATGGTGGAAGAAGTTACATCTCTTTTTGCCTATATAAACAGACTTTTGGGTATTAGAAAATAACAAGAAAAACGAGATTATATATTTCTATACAGAAAAAATATTGTTCTTAGTTTTACATATTTCTGGAGTACACTTGAGAGTTCTGAAAACCTTTTGTGATTGCTGCACAATTGGTTTATTTGATCGTTGTATCCTGGAGGTGATTGTCCACAGAGGTCGCAGCAGTTATCGACGGGCAATTTCGCTTTAGGACATCGTGCTGTCACGAGACTCGATCTATTGATAAGTTTTTTCTGCACTTTACCATTATTTTATCCAACAATCTAAAGCGAAATTCGTTTTTAATGGCTGCAGTAGATATATCTGTTCCTAAGTATTCTGAAAAGCCTGAATTATTTGATGGAAAGAATTTTAAGAGATGGCAAATGAAATTGCGATTTTATTTGACAACTCTTAAAGTTGTAGATGCTATTGAATCTGATAAACCTGTTTCTGCAATTGCTGATGAGCCTACTGATAAGGAAACATCAGATTTAGCTAATTGGGAACGTAATGATTATATGTGCAGAAATTATATTCTGAATTGCTTGACGTTGGATTTATATGATGTTTACTGGTCGTGTAAATCTGCTAAAGAATTATGGAAGTCATTAGAAAAGAAATATGCTACTGAAGATGCTGGAACTAAGAAATTTGTTGTGGGAAAATTTTTAGATTTTAAAATGGATGATATTAGAACGGTGGTAAGTCAAGTTGAAGAATTACAGATTATAATTCACGAAATTATTGCTGAGGGATATAAAATATGTGAAGGTTTTCAAGTGTCTGCTATAATTGAAAAACTACCACCTTCTTGGAAAGAGTATAAAAACAGTTTGAAGCATAAAAGAAAAGAAATGTCACTGGAGGATTTGATTATCAGAATTAGGATTGAAGAGGACAATAGAATGGCAGAACGTAGGGAGAGACCAGACTTGGGTACAAAGGCCAATCTTATTGAAGGAGGTTCTGATAGTAAGAAAGCTGTTGGAAATTATACTAAAAGTCAGAATTTTAAAGGCAGATTCAAGGGGAAACAATTCATAGGAAAGAACAATCGGTCTAAGCCTCAATTTAAAAATAAAACTATTGGTGATTGTTTTGTTTGTGGTAAACCAGGTCACTTTGCAAAGGATTGTCGAAATAGAAAAGGAAAAACTGTGAAGCATCAGGCACATATAGTAGAAGATGGGAATTTTTCTGCTATGGTGACAGAAGTTAATCTAGTGAGCAACATGACAGACTGGTGGGTAGATTCTGGAGCTACCAAACACATTTGCTGCACGAGAGGTGCATTTTCTTCATTCACTCCTAATAGTGATGGAGAATGTCTGTTCATGGGAAATGCTTCTTCCTCCAAAATCGAGGGGAAAGGAACTGTGACACTTAGATTTACTTCTGGAAATGTCCTTAGTTTGAAGGATGTCCTTTATGTACCTGATATAAGGAAAAATCTAGTGTCTGGATCTATTTTAGTCAAAAAGGGATTTAAAATTGTATTTGAGAGTGGTCAAGTTGTAATGTCTAAGGGTGGTACTTTTGTTGGGAAAGGGTATGCAGATGAGGGTCTATTTAAATTAAATGTTTCTGTGATCAATAATAAAGCTTCTACTTCTTCTGTTTACTTGCTGGACTCTTATGATTTATGGCATGCTAGACTTGGACACGTTAACGTGAATTCTATTAAAAAATTAATGAGATTGGGAAACATTCCTAAAACTGATAAGTTCCCAAACTCAAAATGTGAAACGTGTATTGAATCTAAGTATGCTAGAAAACCATTTCCACATGTTGATAGAACTACTTCAGTTTTAAGTTTAATACATTCTGATTTATGTGATTTAAAAGGATATGTTACCCGTGGTGGAAATAAATATTTTTTAACTTTCATTGACGATTACTCTCGTTATTGTTACATTTATCTTCTTAAGAGTAAGGATGAAAGTTATTCAAAATTTATTTCATATAAAACTGAAGTAGAAAATCAGTTAGATAAAACCATTAAAATTTTAAGATCTGATAGGGGAGGAGAATATTCAGGTGAGCTTGATAAATTTTGTGCTGATAATGGTATTATTCATGAGACTACTCCACCATATTCTCCCCAATCTAATGGTGTAGCTGAAAGGAAAAATAGAACTCTAAAGGATATGGTCAGTTCAATGCTAAACTCTTCTGGATTACCTTTTAACATGTGGGGAGAAGCACTTCTTACTGCATGTTATATTCTTAACAGAATTCCCAGTAAGAAAAATGATAAATCCCCTTATGAATTGTGGAAAGGTAGAATACCTTCATATAAATATCTTAAAGTGTGGGGGTGTTTAGCTAAGGCATCTATTCCAGCACCTAAGAGAACTAAACTTGGTCCAAAAACTGTTGATTGTGTATTCATAGGTTATGCTTTTCATAGTAATGCCTACAGATTTTTAGTAATTGACTCTAAAAATATTTTGATTGAAAAGAACACAATTTTTGAAACTAGAGATGCAGAATTTTTTGAAAATAGATTCCCTTTTAAAGAAAAATCTGCAAGACCAAGTAGTTCTCTTAGTGTTCCTCCTAGTGTTAGAGAAGAGCCTATTGAATTAGAAGAAGCTGAAGTTAGGAGAAGCAAAAGACCTAGGACTGCTACTTCTTTTGGTCCTGACTTTCTAACATACTTAGTAGAGGATGATCCTAGTACATTTGTTGAAGCTATATCTTCACCAGATTCTATATTTTGGAAGGAAGCTATAAATAGTGAATATGATTCCATTATGTCTAATAACACTTGGGAATTAGTAGACTTGCCTAGAGGATGTAAAACCATTGGGTGTAGATGGATTTTTAAGAAAAAATTGAAACATGATGGTTCAATTGATAAATTTAAAGCAAGACTTGTAGCTAAAGGCTATAAACAAAAAGAAGGAGTTGACTTCTTTGATACATATTCACCTGTTACTAGAATTACCTCTATTAGGATGTTAGTTGCAATTGCTTCATTGCATAATCTTATTATACATCAAATGGATGTCAAGACTGCCTTTTTATATGGAGATTTAGAAGAAGAGATTTATATGGATCAACCTGAGGGATTTGTGGTAGAAGGCCTTGATGATAAAGTATGTAGACTTCGAAAATCTCTTTATGGCCTTAAACAAGCCCCTAAGCAATGGCATGAGAAATTTGATACTGCCTTGACATCTAATGGTTATGTGATAAATGAAGCAGATAAATGCATATATAGCAAATTTGTGGGGGATTGTGGTGTTATAATTTGCTTATATGTGGATGATATGCTAATAATGGGAACTAGTTTAGATGTGATTAATAAGACTAAACAGTTTCTGAAAAAGCACTTCGAAATGAAAGATTTGGGTGTTGCTGATGTTATTCTAGGGATTAAAATAGTAACACATTCCGAAGGAGTTACTTTAACCCAATCACATTATGTAGAAAAAGTTCTTAAGAAGTTTAACCAATATAATTGTATTCCTGCTAAAACACCTTATGATGCAAGTCATCATTTGAGAAAACATTCAGGTCCTAGTGTTTCTGCTTTAGAATATGCTAGGGTGATCGGCAGTCTCATGTATCTCATGAACTGTACCAGACCTGATATAGCATATGCCGTCGGTAGACTTAGCAGGTATACTAGTAATCCTAATAGTGAACATTGGGATGCTCTCATTCGAGTCTTGAGGTATTTGAGATACACTATAGACTGGGGAATACATTATACTAAATATCCTGCTGTACTTGAGGGATATTGTGATGCTAATTGGATTTCAGATACCAATGAAACTAAATCTACAAGTGGCTATGTTTTTACATTAGCGGGTGGTGCTGTATCTTGGAAATCCACTAAGCAAACCTGCATTGCGAGATCTACTATGGAATCAGAGTTCATAGCATTAGATAAGGCAGGTGAAGAGGCTGAATGGTTAAGGAATTTTCTTATGGATGTTCCTTTGTGGTCCAAACCACTTCCAGCTATCTATGTCCATTGTGACAGTCAAGCAGCTATTGCAAGAGCTCAAAATTCATCCTACAATGGAAAGTCTAGACATATTCGTAGGAGGCACAATACTGTGCGTCAGCTGCTTAAGGATGGGGTTATAGCTATTGACTATGTGAAGTCAAGTGATAATATTGCTGACCCATTAACAAAAGGATTAGCTAGAGAGCTAGTTCAGAAAACATCGAGGGGGATGGGGCTAAAGCCTATTACAAATTAGATCA